GATCTTGTACGGAAGTATAATTTAAAGGGAAAAGATCACTTCTGGAAATATCTTCAAATGATGAATTGTGTGTCCACGAAAATTCAGCACACAGACGGAAACCATATCTTGGACTTCCTATCACTTCCTCATGTCCAACAAAAAGCCTCTGTATTTTACAGAACAACCAATCAGGTGCTAAGCAATGTCTGCACTAATTTAAAGACGATATGGGAGACAGACATTGGGACTGTACTTGGGGTTGAAGAGTGGAAAAGAATTTTGTCAAACACAGGCAAATATGTAAGAGAGGCTAGAGGACAACTTACACAGTATAAAATCATACATAGGTTTTATTTGACACCTCTTAGACTTAATAGAATGGATCTGACAAATAATGATGTTTGTTGGAAATGTCAAAAGGATAGAGGTACTTTTTTTTTCATTGTATCTGCAATGTCCAATTATTCAACCTTTATCGGTCCCTGCATGGGGTCTATATGACCCCAATCGACTTTTCCTTGATAAAAAAAAATAGTTTCCTTTATCTGAGTGGAATAAGATTTTGTGACTTTTCCTACAAAATCTATCTATACACACACAAAAAAAACTGGGCTTGATTCGGTTGTTCTGAAGGTGTGTAAAAAAAATGTTTACAAATCTGGTCTTCGGGGTCAATATGACCCCACATTGAAATGAATGGGAAATGTGAAAAAAACTAAATATTTTGTATTCATTTGTCCAAAAAAAAATATATAAATCCATCATAAATCAGAAAATTTCCACACAGAAATAAAGGCCTACTACTAGAGCATAAATGTGATGTAGAAAAAACATGCTCACTCACACACACACACACACACACACACACACACAAAAACACACGCAAACAAACATGTATTAGTGTACTGCCACAGAGAGCATTTTTTAGAACTCACAAATGAAATCAGTCACAAATGCAGAACAAAGATATTAAAGTGTGAGACCTAATACACACACACACACACACACTCACACACTAATTATAGTTTTACAATTTGTTTTACATGTTTTTTGTAGCTTTTTATTGCTTTTTAAGTTCAGAATTTTATTGGAAAAAATGATAGATTAGATGTTCACTCATATTGCTTTTGTTTTCATATTATTTATTTTATTTATTTTGCATTCTAAAGTTAATTATTTATTTTTACACTTTGTTCAATAAAATCAACAATGTGCAACTAAAATCTGACTCCAAGTCTTGTCCTTTAGTGTGTCTTATGTGGCATTTAGCTATCCTTTTTCTGTGGCACTTTGTAAAAACAGACGTTTCAAAATGCATCAAAAACTACAACAATTATACTATTTAAAAAATTTATAATTTTAAATGTCCTTTCTTATGTTTATATATATATAAAAATTCATAAAATGTATTTCAAAAGTTGTGACAGAAGTAGTAGGCCACATGCAGTAAAATGAATGGCTCTCTATTGCCTCTGCTGGTCAAAACTATTTATTTCTAAAACTGTAAAGAATTTAGTTTTATCTCTAACCAGTAGATGGCGTAATTCTACACATAGCACCTAGCTCAATATCCAGAAGCAATTTAAATTAAATTTTGATCATTATTAAAGTGATTTTTTCATAAAAAATTAAGATTTCATTTGCAAGTTTATGGTGTGGTTGAGGAATTGTGTTGTAAATAGGCACAAAAGTACTTCTTATCTCCCAAAATACAGCATTAATGAATAGATGAGAAGTAAACAAAAAAATATATATATTATTTGTATTATTAAAAATGTATAGTTTTTGTACAATTTCTCTATCAATTGTTGGGGTCATATTGACCCCAAAGACCAGATTTGTAAACAGAAACAAAGACCTTTTGAGGGTTAAATATTTTAAGCAAATGGCTTGGAACAACAATACCGTCATCACCAAGGTTGTGTCTATTAGGAGATAGGGAACAGATGCCAAATACTTCAAAGGGAGAGTTTGCAGTAATTATGGCAGGGGTCTCTGTGACAGCTAGAGTCATCCTGAAACACTGGAAAACTCCAGAAACCCCAGAGTTAAAAGAATGGATCAACATAATGACCAGGGGTCTCATTTATAAAGCGTGCATACGCACAAAACGGGGCTGGAAACGTACGTACGCCAGTTTCCACGCAAAGTTCTATAAAAAACTAACTTTACGGGAGAATGTGCGCACCATTAAGCAAACTTTGAGCCATGCGTACGCACATTCTGGAGACAAAGGGAATTGGAGACACTGATGGTGAGCTGTAGTTAAATGTCTATTTGGTCACTTTTAGAATGAAAATCTAAAGAAAATTATAGTCTATAGGATACAGAAATATAATAGCCTACGAATAAAATTTCACTCATCAAGCCAATCACTTGAAGCCAATATCTATCCCTTCGTGTCCGCGCCAGCACGCGCGTTGGGCCGTTTAGTGAAACTGACGCACATCTAACGGCAGATGAACCTTAAATCTTCATGAGTAGGCTAATAAATAAAGTGCACGTTCTCAATAACAGTTTAAATAAATGAAATAATAATTTAAACTGTTTTACTTCTGATAAACATTTAGATTAAATATGCCATTCACGTTAATGGAGTTAAACACTTAAACTACATGAAATCATTACTGAGAAGTTACAAAAAATATATATTCAATAAATAGAAATATAGGCTATATTTTTTGTGGATGCAATGCTTTTGAACATTTTCCCTCTGGCATGCAGTGTTTTATGATAATAGCAGATTGTCTGAGAAAATAGTTCCATAATCCACAACCATGTCTATCTGTTTCCATTAAAAATATAAATTCATTAAATATACTATTTGGCCAGTTGAAAAGATTGAGAAAATCTTTCTCTGAAATGTATTTGACACTATTTGATTTATTCATTCAAAAACAAGGCAAGGATATAGGCTACTAAAAAAACTAATAATAATTTATTGTGACACAGCACATCTGTATTTCATATTTTCCTAACGTCTTGTACGTTAACATGGTCTCACGTGGATGAATAATCACATGCAAATGATATGCAGATGAGGATATGCATATTTAAACTAGGCGTTGTAAGCTCCATATATGGTTATTTCAGGGAGGAGACGCATGTGCGCGCATTCTTCCGCTGACTGGGATTTATTAAGTGAATTCTGCGCAGGTTCTGGCGTACGCATGGTTTTATAAATCTGAATATTTTTTGGCGTACGCCATTTTTGGCTTTCGGGCGCACGTACACTTTTAGTAAGGATCCTACGCACAGTTTTATAAATGAGACCTCAGGACAGCTTCCTATGAACGTATGCTTTGCAAATTACGTAATAAGAACAAAACGGGGGTCCCGGTGGATACTCCAGTTTGGGAAGATTTTTGGTCTTTTGTGACATTGTCTTTACATGTGAAATAATAATTTACTTATTTATTTTACTTTATTATCTTTTTTTTTCTTTCTTTATTACATTTAACCACTGTAATATTCTGGCCTTGCAAGCAGTAGAGGGAATGCGCGTGACGTCACCGTCGGCCGGAGTGTCTGCAGTTCCTCACAGTGAGTGGCAAAAAGACTGAGCGGCTGTATATGTGTTCAGCGTGAATCCCACGAAAAACAAACACAACACACACAAATAAAGTGGGAAAGAGCTTTGCGATTGACTGTAGGCCTACAACTAGATTTGACAAAACATCGGAGGTATATTTTTACAGACTGCTATAGAAAGAGGAGCAAATGGATCGCAGCAATTCACAAAAACAACGTTGACTCCAGTCAGAAAAAGGTGGATTTGCAGTTATCAATTTGTGTCAATATGCTGAATTTAGCTATAAAACCATACCCATATATTTTGTATTGTTATATACTGTACATTCACAACTCATCAATTAAATATGTATCATTGCATATTCTGCATTATAGCATTATTATTTTTTTAATAAACACTGACCAAAAAAACGTATAAAGTTTTAGGGATATATATATCGGAGCGGGGCGAGTAGGACTCGGGTGTGAGAGGTTATATATATATATAACGGAGGCTAGCTAGTAGTTGCTGTGCGAGTAAACCTCACTCCCCGATCTCAATAGGCGCTCTAGCGACAACTGCTAGAGGCTGCAGTCTTTAGCCTCCTTGTTAGCGCGCCTGACTCTCATGCTGGAGACCCGGGTTCGAGGCCCGCTCGGAGCGGGTCGAATTGGACCCGGGTGTGAGGGGTTACATTGGTGCTGTGACCCAGATGAGAGTGAGGTTTAGGGTGAGTGTAATGGAGGCCAGCTAGTAGTTGCTGTGCGAGTAAACCTCACTCCCTGATCTCAATAGGTGCTCTAGCGACAGCTGCTAGAGGCTGCAGTCTTTAGCCTCCTTGTTAGTGCATCTGACTCTCATGACGGAGACCCGGGTTCGAGGCCCGCTGGGAGCGGGTCGAGTTGGACCCGGGTGTGAGGGGTTACATGTAGGCTATGTATAACACTGATATAAGTGATCACCTGGATTTAGACCTACCTATATATTTATATAAAGCGTTCACAGGCAAATTTGCTTTATGTTTAGGTCTATTGCTTTTATTTCCCGGTGTCGAAATCAGGCAAACATAAATGTCAGGCAACACGATTCCTGGCTATATGTCAATATCCATGGATCACTGGATCTTTAGTAAGTTGTAAGGAACACTATATTGAGTCCAACATTTAGTTAAAATTGATAAAATTGTTCGATTTAGCCACATTTCTGCAGTTTCCCCTATTAAATCCAGTCACGCAGCAGATCTTTTGCCACTCGGTCAGGCTGAGGGGGGTTGTTCCGGCGGGAAAGTCACGTGTCAATGCATTCCCTCTATTGATACATTGTATTGTCATGTACTGGATGAAAAGAATAAAAACTTGAATTACAAAAAAAATGTGTTAAACAAAAAGTAACCAAACACATTTCTTTCCATAAAAGTAACTAACATAATTAATATTGTTATGTATTGCTTGGTTTGTGATACAATGCCAACATTTAAATATCCTTTTACTTCCTGGTCAACTTTCAGGCTTTATGGAGATTCCTGGAGAGTGGTCGGCAATTGCAACCCACCATTCCTAAACCTAAACCTGTTAAAGGAAAACAGATTAAAACAAATTTCTCATCTGAAATTTCCTTTCATGAAATGGGAATCAGTGAAGAGGAGTGGGATAGGCTACAGAAGGCTCTGGACTGGCCCAGTCCAGATCAGGAAATCACTCGGCTGGATCAGAGCACAAGCCCAGTCCACTCAACATTCTCTATTGTGGGACTCAAGGAGAGTTACAAAGTGGGAGAAAAGATCTCTGTTACCATCACAGCCAGAGACCACAACAAGAACCTGAAAAGATATGGAGGAGATTTTTTCCAAGCAAAACTATTCAATTCAAAGCTAAAGGTGTGTTATTTTCTAATATATTTTTATATAGAAATTAAGACATTTACTGAGTTGCATTTGTCTGTTAATGGTTGATTTACAACATTTTATAAATTAAAGGTGCAGTGTGTGATTTTTAGCGACATCTAGCGGTTCGGTTGCGAGTTTGCACTAAGGGCTCAGCCCACTGCTCACCCCTCCCTATCGAACAAGCTACGGTGGCTAAAACGGGTCAAACATCTTGTCATCTGAGACAGCAGAGAATAGCCAGAGTAAGCCAAGAGTGTGTAACATTGTCAGTGTTTCTGGACCACAGTCCATTGTAAACCACATCATGGATAAAGTTTACAAAGCCACAGTCAGGTGAGGATCAAGGGTTTAAATATATAATTTAATATAATAATAGTAATCAGCTGATTGTCTCACAAACGTAACGAGCACATTTCTCCCCACATAGCAAACCCATAATACAGCGACGGAGAAGAACCACATGAAACTATGCAGCTATATATTTTTTCTAACAGGGTAGTAAAAGTTTAGCTGCCTAATATGAGCTGTTACCGTGGACAGTACTGAACTGGTTGAAGCGTAGCGTTGTTTATACTCGACACATCCGCATGAGCCCAGAGACACCATTTACTACACACAATAGGCTTTTTTCTCTGATTTTGAAAACTCTTTGCGATCAACTTAGATCTCTCCCAAGATCGACAGGCTAGCGATTCCTGTAACATACTGTTTTACGGTCAAGTAACCAGCACATTTACCCCCACATAGCAAAGCCATAACACAGTGAGGGAGAACTTACATGAAGTTACATGAAACAATCCAACTACATATTTTACACCACTCACATGTCACGGATACACCAGCTTCAGCGCCAGATTCCTACACTCCGCCCACTCGACCTGCTTCTCCGGAATTCTAATCACCTGCACCTGTCACCACCACCTGTCTGCAATCCACTCTCACTTCAGCCTCACCATAAAAGCGACTCCAGTTCCCTTCTCCAGTTGTCTGGTCTCGTCGTTGCCTACGACTACTGACTCCAAACCCTTTGAAAGATAACCTACCTGCTAACCACTTACCTTCGAAGAATCCATCCTGTGTGCTACCCGTTTCAACTCCATCCCAGTCCGCTCCATCTGTTTATCTGTCTGCTATCAGCCCTTCGCCAGTCATCATCCATCCTGCAAAAAGATAAGAGACTTTGTTATCAAGACTGATCATCATTTGCTGCATACATCTGTTAACCAGATCTTCACCTGACGTTTCCAGCTCTAAGTTATTTCAATAAACTTTCATAAACTTACCAGTCTGTGTCATTCTGTGTTTTGACATCACAAGGGAAAAGTCACTACTCGCGGTGTCTATGGCTTCTAGGTTTCTGCTGCTTTTCTTTCAAAGTAGTGACTAAACGCATTCTTTAGCACTGTTTGTTCACGTTCGGCTCGGTAGAAACATTGTCACAATATGTTGACCTTCATAGAAGACGGATGCCCGCGGTTATGTAGATATAAATGTCTCATTCTAAGGTAATAAAAACATTACTGTTTATTAAGTAAGTTCTTTATAAACCACTGAAAACATAGTTATGGATGTCATATTGCATTTCTGTTAATAGATGCTCAACATTTTCACACATTGCACCTTTAAAGTTTTATATGCTTTAAAATTGGATATACCAATAGACATTAGGTTTTTTTGCATTACACTTAACCTCTATTCTCCTTGAAGGCGAGTGTGTACGGAGAGGTTGTGGATCACTGTAATGGGACTTACTCTGTTGCTCTTCTTCTGCCTTGGGAAGGTCAGGCACAAGTTTATGTGCGTCTAGAGCACTCCAGTGAGGTTGTGCAGATTCTTAAAAAATACAGAGAGTCTTCATTCCCACGCAGCCATTATAATGGCATCTTTGAAGGGTCAGGACCCAATAAAACCAGGATCAGTGAAGCAGTACAATGTAATCTTAAATGGGGTGCAGCTGGAAGTTGGATTAAAGGCGACTGCTGCTGTGAGTATAAGGATATGAAAACAGGGACGGTGTGGCAGTGTGAGATACCAAAGAAACTTTCTTGTGACAAACTGGTTTATCACGCAAGAGGTGGTTTTGAAAGCCCATTAAATCCTTTTGAGAATCAAATTTTCACAACGTAAGTGGGAAAGGATTCAAAATTAATTACAGAGGAATTGTAAAACTAGAAAAAAACAGAAGATGTTTTTTTTTTTCTCCACAGGAAATTAACAAATGTTGCTATTACTGGAGACACACAAATCATAAATGTCCTTCCCAACACTACTGGCATCGGTATGTTCATATATCAGGACCTATATAATCTAAAATCATTGTAGTTAGTTGCAAGAGATTTAAGAAATTGCATAATTATGGCACAATCTCTTCAGGTAAATGTTTCTTTGCTTTAGGCACAATGGAGAGATGCAGATCTGGCATGACGACACCAGTTCCTGCAGGGTTTTATCTGAAAGATGTCTGGAAGTCTTTTGTGTGCAACACCCAACCATTCAGTTCTCCACAAATGGGAAATTGTCTTAAAAACAAGATTGTCTACTTGATGGGAGACTCCACCACAAGGCAGTGGTTTGAGTATTTAGAACGAAATGTGCCAGGCAAGTTGTTCATAAATGATATTGGTGTCTTTGGAAAGTTTTTTTAGAAATAAATAAAGCAAGGAGTGTAATTTCAATTTTACCTATCTTATTTAGACCTCAAAAGAATGGACCTCCACACTCCTCGTACTGGTGGACCCCTGATGGCTGTAGAGTTAAAAAATAATATCATTGTTCACTGGGGGCCACACGGTGTTCCTTTGCGATTTATTAAAATGCTCATTACTGACTTGCATTATATCAGCAATGATATTGATGAAATAGCTGGTGGTCCTCATGCAGTCGTTGTCTTTACAATATTTGCCCACTTGGTTTGTCATCCATTAACATTTTATGTGCATGAAGTGGCCAAAATCCGTCAATCTGTTGTTGCACTGCTGAGTCGTGCACCAGAGACTACCGTCATCATCAAGTCTGGAAACACTGCAGGATTAAAGGTACAACTGTTTATTTTCAAATCCTGCTCCATTTTCAATAATATTTATGTCTTGTATTTGTAATATGGTACATTTGTCTCGTAGTCTTTATATTTAAAGTCTAGAAACGCAAATATGCATGTGCTGAGGTGACATTTTCATTTTGCAATTTGAGCAACTCGTGGCCCCAAGATAGAGTTACTACTATCTTGAGGCCACGAGATAGTTATGATAATATTTTTTGACAAAGTGGGACTAGGGGGGGGGGCTCTGTATTTTGCCCCTATTAGATAGGCCTACAAGGTCAAAGTTAAAGGTCAGTTAGTGACAGGCAAAAATTTAAGTAACCTACTCTAGCACTGTTTCTGGTAGAAAATACAAACAATGCAGTTTGTCTAAACCAAGTTTATATGAATACTTATTTCTATTACTGATCTCTGTTGTTACAGAATATTTTTCAAAGTGATTGGTATACAATGCAGCTGAATACAGTGATGCATGAGATGTTCCGAGATATCAATGGAGTAATCTACTTCGATGTCTGGCAGATGACATCCTGTCACTATCTACGTGAAAATATTCATCCAGGTCCTGTTATCATTGCTAATGAAATCAACATGTTGCTCTCATATATCTGCCCTGCCTGACACAATAGAATAATATTTACCTTACTTTGTTATACCAAGGAATGCATGTACCTAAAAAAATGAGCATCTGTGAAAAAATACTTCTTGTATACATATTGTTAAAACTACCTGCTTAATGTAAGCCTGTATAATCTCAAAATTAACTAAATTAAATTCCTTATTTATTTTTAACCACACCTTTTGGTTCCAAAAACTGAGGTAACTTTGAGGGTATGTAAATAGCCAAAGCAACTTATTCTCTGAACATAACTGCTCCGGTGTTCTGCCAATTTTTGCTGCCTTGTCGAAAAATGCTACCATAGCGCGAATTGATCACAGAATGCTGATTAAAGTCGTATGAAATACAATTATAATACAATTCTAAGTTATTACTGTATAGCTACTGTTAGCTACTGTATACTGTAGACTACTGTTTTTATTTTTAAAACGGTGTGAAAAGTAAAAATTATCATAAAATATTCATCTTGACTTGTCAAAGCACCTTTCCTCATTGTAACTGAAACTTTCAGTTATTCCTTTTCAGATGGCTGACCGTACAAATATTCATATGATAGTAAGCATTTTTCAAGGGAAATTATACATTATAACAGGAAAATGTACCTTTTGTAAAAAAAACAAACAAAAAAAACAAACAAAAAAAAAAAAAAACGGAGTCTGCACATGCGCATAACCGGTAAGTAGCAAATCTCGATGGGTAGCATGAATTGTCAGAACACCAGAACAGGATCTGTTCCAGGGTTAGTTTACTTCAGAGGTGTTCAGTGCATGCATACTCTATTGGTGAGACTCCTTTGGGTGTGACAGATTGTGCACAATATCATATAACAACAGTTCAATTTCTCATTAATCCAATTATCTAATCAACCAATTACATGGGAGTTGCTTCAATGCATTTAGGGGTGTGGTCCTGGTCAAGACACTCTCCTGAACTTCAAACTGAATGTCAGAATGGGAAATAAAGATGATTTAAGCAATTTTGAGCGTGGAATGGTTGTTGCTAGACAGGCCGGTCTGATTATTTCACAATCTGCTCAATTACTGGGATTTTCATGCACAACCATTTCTAGGGTTTACAAAGAATGGTGTGAAAAGGGAAAAACATACAGTATGAGGCAGTCCTGTGGGCAAAAATGCCTTGTTGGCTTTTTTCTCTATTGTTGTTTTCTGCTTGGTTAATACTTTTGTACATTCTATCCCCTGCGAGAGTTTTGTATGTTACTTCTTGTCAATAAAAAAAAATAAAAAATGCCTTGTTGATGCTAGAGGTCAGAGGAGAATGGGCCGACTGATTCAAGCTGATAGAAGAGCAACTTTGACTGAAATAGGCACTAGTTACAACCGAGGTATGCAGCAAAGCATTTGTAAAGCCACAACACGCACAACCTTGAGGCGGATGGGCTACAACAGCAGAAGACCCCACCGGGTACCACTCATCTCCACTACAAATTGGAAAAAGAGGCTACAATTTGCAAGAGCTCACCAAAATTGGACAGTTGAAGACTCAAAAAATGTTTCCAGGTCTGATGAGTCTCGATATCTGTTGAATGTGTACATTCAAGGGTACATAAAGCATCACGCCACACAGCAAGGCTGGCCATCACAGCAGATATAGAGCAAAATTTTGCCAGCTGTTTAAACTCTCCTTTTGGTAGCCCTGCCCATGCGCGTAATTTGCATGAGGGTTACGGGGGTTATGACCCCCTCAAAAATCAGATCCAGGTAATATAACCCCCCCAATATCACCCCATCATTCAGATTAAAATAAATATGAAATATTCCAAATGAATACTGTTGTTTGTTTTCTTTAGTTAATTAATTTGCCAGCAAGAAAGATAGTATCATGTTTTAAATAATCTGTAATGTCGTCCCCGTCCACCGCACCGACTACTTGGTGTATTACCCAACCTGTGTTCTCTACCAAGTTTGTTCAGTATTTTGCGCAGTTGCTGGGGTGAATGGTTGGAGAAAGCTGACAGTGCATGCTAACGGATGCCAGCCAAAAAGAGGGAAAATCCTGACCAAACAGAGGTATTGCTAAATTAGCTAGCTTTGTTAGCTCAGCTTTTCTCAAAGTTTGGTGCACGGGCACGAGTGCGGCCCACTGGTGTGGAATAGAGACATGACAAGTGGGGCGCGACAAAAAGGTTTTAACATTATATTTTAAAAATGTGATGTTAATAAAATGCATATTTACAGTTAAACTTGTTTAATGAGGCTTAATGAGTAGTTGCAACGCGTTCTCATCCCAAAGCGCCATATAGGACGCTTTTGCAAAAGCGTAAATATCCAACGCACATGGCACCCTTTAACGTCTAATGAGACGCTTCGGTTAATGGTTAAGTTTAGGTATGGTGTAGGGTAAGGGTTAGACCACTAGGGGGCGCCTTCTGCCCAAATATATCTGCGTCTCATTTCACGTTAAAGGGTGCCATGTGCGTTGGATATTTACGCTTTTGCAAAAGCGTCTTATATGGCGCTTTGGGATGATTGCTAACAATGAGTTCACTACTAAAATGGCCCCCACAGTACAGTAAAATGGTTGACTAATTCCTACTTCCTTCTCTATAACAACTCATTAATTGAATTGAAAGCCTTTAATTAATTGAATCAGGTGTGCCATTTCAGGGTTAAAACAGAAACATGACCTGTCACGGGGTCCCTGCAGGAGACGTTGAGAACCACTGGTCTAGGTGAATTTTGCCAAATGTCTCTCTCTCTCTCTGTCTCTCTCTCTCTTACTTTCACTTTAAAACTCCTCTCCGTTTTTGTTTGTTTATCTGTTTGTATATCTCATGTAACCTTATGTGGCAGGAAGGGCGTTTCCGTCGTAATTTTTCATTATTATTGATGACCAGTCTAGCCTATCATAGGTGCGCTTGGGCTTTAAAACAGTCACGTAGTTCTCACTCGTCAGGCGTCACGTTCGACTTGCGTCGTTAATGCGCTCTCGTCACTGCCTCCCGGAAACCGGATGTGAGCACCCGAACCGGTAAGGAGTATCAATAATAATGAAAAATTAAGACGGAAACGCCCTTCCTGCCACACTTAGTAATTGTATATTTAGTCTACCTTTATTAAATTCATCTATATTCATTGATTGGTTCATGTCTCTTGCCCATATATCGGTCACTTTAGTGTGCGATCCTGGCTACAAAGCTTTAAGTACTATAACTTACGTTCGCAGGGTATCTTTGTGAAAACAGGAAGGTTAGCTCACGGCCAGAAATTCCCTTTCCTGTCTCTGAAATTATTTCTCTATATGAATTGATAATAATACCATGATTAACTTGCTGCACAAGCAGATCATCAGATCACAAATTAATTCACAGGGATATCGTCGGAGTAAACATATAGTAGACCTAATTGACGTATTAAAATTTAATTAGAATCCATTTTGATTAAATATTGATATAAAATTTAGATCATTTTTACCTGTCTGTAAAACGTGATCTATGCAATTAATTACCATCAATTTGTGGTTTATTGCCGAGTACACATGAATGCAGATGCAGGTAACATATCATCCTGTCTCGGGAGATTTAGTAATAAGGCTGATCTGGTCCAAACCTGTATGAATAATTATTAATTATTAATTATTTTATACAAATCCCCATATCAATCAGGTCAGACTCTTTACACTTAACTACCTATTCAGGTAAACGATACGGGCGGCAGCACACCACCACGCCTGGTTCCGTCTCAACGTGGTGCTGAATGAGGTTCGTTCGACCAGGCAGGGGCGAGAACACATCCGCAAATTCTGCTTGTAAACTTTTAACGACAGTGAGCTGGGAGGGTGAGAGGTGGTCTCCTCCGAGAGCCAGAGCGAGGGATTGGGCCTGTAGCAAATTCTCCATTGAAAGCTGCCCCAAGGTGTGGAGTTTTGCAATTCATTTGATTTTACCTGTGAAGCAGATTTGTTACGTAACATCATTAATTCGTAGTTCGCTTTCGATTCCTTACTTCCTTCGAGTCAATATGCAGCCAGTAAGACAAGTGGTCCCTGCCTAGGCACCATCAGGCCCCTCATCTGCGAGCAGCGTCATTAAAAAAAAAAAAAAAAAAAATGACTGGGAAAAAAGTTAAGAATTGGCTTAGCTTGATGGAGATTAAGGAGCCGAAAAAAATGCCTTTCTGGCCCCACCGGCTTCTTCGGTCCCGCCTTTGATTCATCACGACACACGTCCCAGGCTATTCCTGCCGACGCGTTCAAGCTCCCATAATGCTCTGAGTCGCCCCAGGACTGCAACGACTCAGTATGCTGTAAAGACCGTGCCCTCGACTGCTCAGCCTGCACCACAGCCAGAGTCTCAGCAGAGCGCGCAATCTGCAAAACAGCTCTTCCCGAAGCGCCAGGGACCCCAGCCTATAATAACGCTAGTCCCATGTGCCTCAGAAGTTGTCCTGATCTGCCAGGAAGGAGGAGGCTGTGTGTCTCGCTGCGTCTTGACCACCCTCCAAAAAGCCTAATTTGTGCCTTCTTGCACCCAGTTCATTTACCCAACATGTGGTTACATGAGCTGAGAGTTGCGATACTCTCAACCTCACGGGCTCATCTGAATACAGAAAATTCAGCCATGAACTCTCTGTTGCATTTCCTTATTTAGTCAGACCTTACCTGATCAGGGCTCTCAAGTTTTGAACTGAGTTCAGAGTGAGATTTTGGCGGCAGCGGCCGCAGCAAGGGTTTGGTGTGGACGGGTTTCTGATCTGATAGATTTATTTAACACATATTCTTACAAATAAAATAATATTTATTTAATTCAGCATTTCTTTGTGTGTGCGTGCGTGTGTGTGTGTGTGTGAGAGAGAGAGATAATGGTTAGTGTTGTTTATTGTAGGTGTTGGTAGCAGATTTTGAGGCCTTCAGCACAGGGGTTGGTGGCTCCCATTTGAAGCACTGGGGTTCCAGGCCAGCCATTTTTACTGTCATCATGGATGACAGGGTTCCATCTAGTGCCAAGCCATGCGATTATTGAGGTCAATATTGCGATTGTGATATGCGATTGCGATATAATAAACAAATGGTTTCATGAGCCAACTTGTTTGGTTCTAAACCAAATGCACACACAGATTAGTGATAATTCTGAAATTAGCAATAACAACTAAATGATTGATAACACCTATAATGATCAAAGCCATTGATATGTGGATAAAAATTAACTGTCTAACAGGTAGGACCAACACATTCTCATCCCAAAAAGTCATGTAACTGACGTTTTGGGACGTCTTTTGTCTTTTGCGCTGGTAGGACATACACAGAAATTGAATAAAGTTATCAAACAGTCTGTGCTGCATAAATTAAAAAATGATATATAGACTACTCCTTATTAAAGCTACA